TACTACACACATTTCACATTTTAGAAATTTCTCAGCTTTTAGTATAAATGTGTGACTTCTTGCAGTAGAGAAAATATTTTGAAAGTCCTGCGTCTTCAAAAACGTGCGGCTAGAATAATTATTGATGCCAAAAGAACAACACCTTCTGTCGGCTTATTTAACTCCCTAAAGTGGATTCCCTTTTATGCAGAATCATATGTAAATCGATGCACTTTAACCTACAAAAGGCTGAATGGTAATACCCCTGAATAGATAAATGATTTACTTATCAGAAACTCTGAGACACATAATAGATCAACCCGTTTCTGTAATCTTAACTTGAGTTGCCCTCGATATAAGAGAAGTAAGGAAGGTGGTCGAACGTTTGCTGTGAGAGCAACAAACTGAATGGAACAAACTAAGTGTGGACCTCAAACGGAGTACTAGCGTCAAAAACTTAAAGCGTCCCCTTTTTTAAAATAATTTTAAATAATAAAATTCTTACGCAATTATTTATGTAAATTTTAAAATCTGTATGTAACCACATTTTCTAATCTCATTTTGCGACGTAAAAAGGCTTAAATACTATTTTAATTACTGTTAATATTGTTACAACAATTGCTATTAATTCGTTTTGTTTTTTTGAGGGCCATTAGGTTATCAGTTTTATTACTGGCAAATGTTACCCTCGCTAAATAAAGTCTTACCTTGCCTTACCTTACATGAACTTTAAGGTGATTTTGTAGTTCTTCCTTAATAGGGTGGAGGACCTTGCTGGTTCACTTTTAAACCTGACCTACCCTCAGACATTACTTCTGGAACTGCTAAGTTTGCTAATCTAGGCTTTGTTGATTTGGATGGATTAAAACACAAGAAAAACTGTCTTGCTGGAGTAGGAATTCCTCGTAAGTAAAAAGTTGGCTTGAATTTAGTCAAGTATTGAAATACCCTTGATCTTAAAGCTCGATAAAAAAATTGAAGAAAATTGGAAGGCCATGTTAGAAATGTTAGCAATTTATGGGCATGGACGTCCTCTATTAAATACCGTAGCTGAAAACCTCTTTTTGTTAAGGCAAGTTACTCAGCCACTTCGTTACGAAAAACCAAGCAGGCAAGTGATTGCATCTACAGTGTAAGTTCGCTTTTCTCAGATTTGATACTGACACAGCTGGAACCTACGGGGCTCGCAGCGAAATGAATTTTGACTCAACGAAGTGTCTCTAGAACTAACTAACAGATTATGACTGATTCGAAAAATTTTAACACAGCCCATTTCATGAGACCCAAAAGGTTTTAATACAGATCTTTCATATCTGAGACTGTCACAGAACGAAAGCTTGACACGGTTTGTTTTCATAAATCCACATTTTGTAAGTTTGTTTTCAATGCTGTGAACAACTGCCTTTGAATGAAATGATAGTCATAATATCATTGTTTTGCACAGTAGTATAAATGGTGTCAAGATGTTAATTTTGAATCTTCCAGCTGCTGAGCAGGAAGGTCCGATCACTGTAGAAGTGCGTGGAAAAAGTGACAAGACTGGCAAATCAAGTGATCTTGGCCAGACAAAATTTTACTATTTTGATGAATGCAAAAAGGCTCTCAACCAAATGGTCCAATTTAAAGAGCAGTATGACCGCTTTTTCGAAGCATGGAATGCTGCTTGTAAAGGGCACCCCACTGATGGCAGCGAAAAAGAGACGAAGTCCTCTGGTTCAGGTAAGCACGAGAGACCCCTTGACATCTTTTATCGGTCTCAAGTAAACGTTGAATTTGTTGTTAAAAAAAAAAACGTAGAAGACTTACGTAGAAGACTTACGTAGAGGACTATTGGAATCCATATAGTGTGTGTTTGTTTCTTTGGCGGCATGCATGTGACTGTAAATAGGTTTCCTTTAAAAGACACCTCTTACTAACCGATTTCGAGGTCCGTGCAGTAGGTTAGGGACCCAGATGTTTCCGCTCAGAGTTACATTAGATGGCCCGCACGCTTTGTGTGCTTGGGTCACAAATCTGGGCGGAAAAAACAAGGTTCCGTAAGTTAAAGTACGGACCGAGAAAACAAGGTTTGTAAGATATTTTTTCTGGGTCTAAATACAAGGGGGAGATTTCAATTGAAACAAACTTCTAATTTGGCAGGCCGCACATAGAAAATTTTCGCTACAACGACCATCCCTCACAACAACACACAAGCCCTAATTTGGATAGAGTCCTTATTTGTCTTGAGATTAGGGGTAAATTGTCCAATGATCGTAACGAATTGTCCGGATACAGTTTTACCATCATATTACATCAAAGGTCTTTCATCAAAATTCCTTTCACAGGGAGCATGAATTCAGGGAATCCTTTACATTCAATTCAAGGCTTACTGCTGTTGGTGTATGCAGCAGCAGAAACTGATGCTCGGCAGTTCATTGAGTTAGTCCTCAATTCGTCGGCTGGCAAATTGGTCTTCAACGCCTACAGGTGTACCTCTCCATTACCAGAGGATGTTGCGAGAGCATTTGGCCACGAAGATACTGCGCAGTACCTTGAGTCCATAAGTAAAAGGTACCGTGTATATTTCCGTGAAATACTCATATTATACTGTGGCATTGAAAATACACCGATTATAATAATGTGATGATAGGGTAAGGGGCTTTCCAAATCAAAAATCCCAGTTGGAGCTGCGGCTAAGCATGACTCAAGTTCTAGAAAGCAAAGAGGGCTCAATTTTTACTGTGCTTTTCAACCTTGACAATTGGCTGCTTCGTAGGAGTTGACTATTTAATGAGAATTTGCTAGCATATACAACTAGTAAGTCAGGAAATTGAAGAACTTGCTTTAATTTGATGTTTGATTTTAACCATTTTTTCAGTTTGATTCAGGAGCATGATTCGAATTTCTTTTACAATCGCAATTCTTTAGGGACTCCGTTTATTAAAAATAACATTTTAAATTGTTTATCTGAAGTGTAAAGGTAGTAGTATTTACACTTGAGACTTTCAAACATACTATGGTAACCGCAATTCTGTAAGAGTTTTGATTGGAGATGACTGGTGACTCGATTAAGCCTTTGTTGATAAGATCAGAAGCTCGTGTCATTGTAGGTTAGTTGATAGCCCGTTCAGAGAGGCTCTTGATTTTTTTTACCTCTGCATAAAAGTGAACTGATTGGCCCAATGAATTGCTTGGTGTTTACTTGATCTTTATGTAACTTTATAACCGACTAGATCGTCATTTCCACTGTACTTTATATTTTGGGTGCATCGGGGTTTATTGAATCGCAGCAAGAAAAAAACAATGGGACCATTATTTCCTCTTGATCGCAGTTATTCAAAACCATAACAAAATTCTCGAACGTGATTGGTTATCACCATCCCGATTTGAGCACTAAGAGGACAGTGTAAGCGTCATACTTGTAATTGGACGTTGCAATAGTACAGTTGAAGGGACAGTTCACACGTCATGCCTGTGTAAGTGCACAGAACGCATTATGTGCACGAGCTGTTGTCTTGTATACCGTCGAGTTAATGTTTTTTTTTAATGAAAAAGTACAACCGATGTCTAGTTTCTTTCTCAAATTTTGTCATAGTTTTGATTAATTGGTAACAGGAGTTCGTGTCGTCCAATGTTAACCCTAATATGATTACAGACCGAATTGGACTCCACTCCGTCCTATCACCATTATTAAAAAAAATACTGGACTTACCTCAAAATACAGGCATCATAGGTTACTGAGACAACAACTTTGTAACCCACCAAGGACCAAATATAAATAAAACCAGCCATATTAGGTGGACATTTTTCTCAGAGTTGTGTAGTACGAACAATTTTTTTATCAGTTTTTAGCATTAACTGGAAAGTGAACCCAATTGAGATTTAGCTTGTTGGTAATAAGAAGTCTGAATTTGATTTTTGTGCTTAGATTGTCTCAAGATTTCTGTGCCAATGAAGAACACTTAAAAGCAAGTCATGTTTTAGAGCTTGCTGATGCAGTCAAAAATCAATCAAGTAAGTAAATGAGATAAGCCTCTCTGATTTCTTTAACGAGGGGCCACCATAATGCCCTTAAGCTAATTTCGAAGGTTCCCATAAAAAAACAAAGGAAACTGATAATAAATATCTCCAAAGAAACGCTCCCCATTGCGAAATTGCGAAGACTTGAGGAAATTACAGTGAGAGAATTCTCCCATTTTAATTTAGAGATGCTTCTCTAAACACTTCATTAAAGCAAATCCTGGTTTATTAAGGAGACGCGTGCCAAATTGCAAAAAACGGCATTACATGGCAATAAATCCATCTGTGAGCTAAAGCCAACTTGATCATGATCGCCAGATTTGCATTGTTGATAGGGCATATTGAACCTCAAGCTACAATAATTGTTTTCAGTCTTATTTTGTGCATATAATTTTAGGTTATCTCTATGTATTTTGGTTTTACCAAATTGCTGTTTGCAAATTTCGAAAGAATCATAATATAGTCATAATTGATGGGTGACTATTTGTTGATTAGTATATATTAAAACAGTGATAATATGCAGCACAAAAAGATGATTTAACCCATTTATTCCTGCAGCGTTTTACAATAACCTGGGTCTTGTACATAGTCAGCTGGGTGACCTTAATCAGGCAAAAGATTATCACAATCGTGCACTGGCTATTGGGCTGAAAGAGCTCGGACCTGAGCATATTGATGTCGCAACGTCTTACAATAATCTGGGTCTTGTACACCGTGAGCTGGGAGACCTTAATCAGGCAAAAGATTACCACGATCGTGCACTGGCTATTGTGCTGAAAGAGCTCGGACCTGACCATGTTAATGTTGCAGCGTCTTACCAGGCTTTGGGTCTTGTACACAGTGAGCTGGGAGACCTTAAACAGGCAAAAGATTATTTCGATCGTGCACTGGCTATTGGGCTGAAAGAGCTCGGACCTGAGCATATTGATGTCGCAACGTCTTACATTTGTCTGGGTCTTGTACATAGTCAGCTGGGTGACCTTAATCAGGCAAAAGATTATCCCAATCGTGCACTGGCTATTATGCTTAAAGAGCTCGGACCTGACCATGTTGATGTCGCAGCGTCTTACAATGCTCTGGGTCTTGTACACCGTCAGCTGGGAGACCTTTATCAGGCAAAAGATTACCACGATCGTGCACTGACTATTGTGCTGAAAGAGCTCGGACCTGACCATGTTAATGTTGCAGCGTCTTACCAGGCTTTGGGTCTTGTACACAGTGAGCTGGGAGACCTTAAACAGACAAAAGATTATTTCGATCGTGCACTGGCTATTAAGCTGAAAAAGTTCGGACCTGACCATGGTAATGTTGCAGCGTCTTACAATGATCTGGGTCTTGTACACCGTCAGCTGGGAGACCTTAATCAGGCAAAAGATTACCACGATCGTGCACTGGCTATTATGCTGAAAGAGCTCGGACCTGACCATGTTAATGTTGCAGCGTCTTACCAGGCTTTGGGTCTTGTACACAGTGAGCTGGGAGACCTTAAACAGGCAAAAGATTATTTCGATCGTGCACTGGCTATTAAGCTGAAAAAGTTCGGACCTGACCATGGTAATGTTGCAGCGTCTTACAATGATCTGGGTCTTGTACACCGTCAGCTGGGAGACCTTAATCAGGCAAAAGATTACCACGATCGTGCACTGGCTATTATGCTGAAAGAGCTCGGACCTGACCATGTTAATGTTGCAGCGTCTTACCAGGCTTTGGGTCTTGTACACAGTGAGCTGGGAGACCTTATGCAGGCAAAAGATTATTTCGATCGTGCACTGGCTATTAAGCTGAAAAAGTTCGGACCTGACCATGGTAATGTTGCAGCGTCTTACAATGATCTGGGTCTTGTACACCGTCAGCTGGGAGACCTTAATCAGGCAAAAGATTACCACGATCGTTCACTGGCTATTATGCTGAAAGAGCTCGGACCTGACCATGTTAATGTTGCAGCGTCTTACCAGGCTTTGGGTCTTGTACACCGTGAGCTGGGAGACCTTAATCAGGCAAAAGATTATTACGATCGTGCATTGGTTATTAAGATGAAAAAGTTCGGACCTGACCATGGTAATGTTGCAGCGTCTTACAATGATCTGGGTTTTGTACTCCGTCAGCTGGGAGACCTTAAACTTGCAAAATATTGCCACGATCGTGCACTGGCTATTGTGCTGAAAAAGTTCGGACCTGACCATTGTCATGTTGCAACGTTTTACAATGATCACGAAAATGAAAAATAGAATCAAAACCTAATCACTAACTGTCAGAACGTTACATAACTTGTAAATATCAACTGTTACTGTTTGAAAATTAGATGATCTTTTTATGTCAAATGTAAGATTTTTCTAGAAGGATGGTTTCTCTCGAGTCATTTAAGTTCAGTTACAAGTTTTTGTGTCTTTTAAGACTTGATATCGAAGTTATGCTTTTAACTTTTTCCATTATCCATAGTCTAAATCATTTATAACATGAACAATCCTAGCTAATTTAGGGTGCTGTAGGTTGTGTCATTTGTGATTTAAGGCGATGAACTCTGCCCCAACCTTCAATTAAGTCAGCTGATTATTAAAGGAGTTTAAAGATGGCGTTTGTGTCGTTTGTTTTGGTTTTTCGTGGTTGGTACGGTTAGAAAAACATGCACCCTCCTATGATTCCGGTTTACGAAAACGTACTTATCCAAAGAATCCGTATCTGTATCTCTTTCAGAGCTGGATACTCCATTTGCCGGTCATTTCCGCGGCAATAATACATGTAATAGAACAGCGGTTTAAGCTACGTCATGTAAGCAGCATAAAGAATCGTTTCTTTGAAGACCCCTTTGTAAAATCCAAGCTGGGTCACAGCTTGGCTATTCAAAACTCCAGTTTCCGTAAACATCGAAAAAATTTGTTCTTTGAAACAATAGAATGCCCAAGCAACTCCGAGATGGGTTTTAAAAGTTCGTGTCTTGTAGCGTATTCAAGCTAAGGCTCAAGACTTGAGGCAAATAGAGCCTGGCGCAAGATAGAGGAGATCGGGAAGAGCTTGCGCTTGTCTCGTGCTAGCACTCCGTTAGCCTGAGAAAACGTTAGTCCCCTTTGCAGCTGTTCTTTGGCTAACGGGTGCATGCAAACCAACTACATTTCTTTCTCATTGATTGGCGGAGGCCATGCGTGACATTCCAAAGAACGGCTGCGAAAGAGTTTAAAAAATGCGCAAGAATCGGAAAAAAGCGAATGACACCTCTTCTGGGGGTAACACCCTCCCAGATCCTAAGTATAGAATAGAAAATTACAACTTTTCTCTTCCTCTCCCCTCTTGGTATTTTTGTATTCGAGCGTGGCGCGTTTGATTTCACAATTGACATTCAAAACTGACTTGGACATTTAACGCGTACTTTTTTTGTTTGTTTTACGGAGTTGGTTTTAGTTGTTTTGAGATTTCTTTCGCACAAATTTTTCACCCCTTTGTTTGGAATTTTAAGTAGTTTCGGAGTTAAAATGTTATAATTTTCTACAGAGTTTATACTTTTTTAAAAAAGGGATTTTACAGTTATTTTACAAACTTCAATGGGGACCAAGAAAACCCCGACGGCGACGGCAACGAGAACGTAGCGAAACAGAAAATCTTATGAGCAAAACAATAGCGAAACACGTGCGTTTTAAAACTTTGTACATTTCTTAGCCGTCCCGTACAGAACAAAAACTTGAAATCGCCAACGCTTACGTCCTCATCATCTTCATCATCCCTTTTATTTGCCTTATTTACACAATACAAACAATTTATTTACAGCAGTTATAGCTAGAAGGCGAGGAAACCCAGGAAGTCGCCGGGCTTTCCTCCTGGTAAGGAAACCTCGATAGCAATTTACTCACACTTTGGTCAAAGTAAAAACAGGCAAACTAACCATGTCACGATTGGTTTTTGTTTAGGGTTTGATTGGTTTAGAGGATGGCGGGAGTTTTCTGGACTTATCACGGACCTAGGTAAAGCACAAGCATTACTCCCGACGCTAGATTGGAAATTGCTCTGTGCACGTTTTTTTCTAATTGAAATATATGGTCTTTGATATTCAAATCATGTACTGATGCTCAATAGCCCGCGAGTACGCTCTTGTGGATACAGCAATAAGAGCGATGAAGCCTGCGTGTTTCCAACTGGCAATGTGAGGGGACGAAAGGTCTCCCTCGTATACCCCTGGCACCCTCGAACGCGCAAGCTCCACTCATGTCGCTGCCCCAGTGTGAGCTTTGCTTACAGGCTCAGTCTACAATCAGTCCATTTCTTAATTAGTTTAAAGAATAAAAGACTGCGGCAGAGCACAAATCGAATCAATACAGCGGCCTGAGTTGGATTCCTTTTTCTGGTGAGCATTGAGTTTAGCGCATTTTTGGTTTTCTTGCCTTTGGGAATAGGTTTTCAGATTCTACTCACTGACTTAAATTTTTTAAGAAGGTATTATTTTTCTTTATTCTGATTTGTTTTATTTTTGGTTTTTTATTCCTGTCATCATGTTTTTTTTTTCCGAATAACATGCGGGCAACTAAAAAATTATCAATAGCAGAAATCACACCTACCCTTCTCATAACTTCATTCAGAAGACTGACCGTGAGATAACGGAATGTTTAATTTGCATTGCAAATATGTTGACACTCAATTGATATTCATTTCAGCTGTGTAAGAAACTTTGAACGGAGAGCTCCGAGCTCCCGTTGCCCATTTGGCTTAAAATTACGCCTTTTGGTGAGACAAATCGTTTCGTAACAAGCGTTAGGTAGTTCAAATGCCAGTCAGTTGAACCCCTGATGTTGGCCGGCCTTAAATATCGGTTTTGGAGGGAAAAAAACCGAAGCACGTGGGTGACCGGACCGCGACCACAAACCAACTGACTAAGACGTGAAGTAACAGAAGTTCGTGTCTTTCCAGAGCTCAAGTAAGTTACTTAGTTTCATTCTCCTACACTCTATAAATGTTATCAACAATTCAGTGCTCTTTTCAAGAGCCTCGACTAAATGTTAATAGACATAATGGGTCGATGAGCCTATCTCGCCTTTCATTCACTTCTTCTAATTTGTCGAGAATAAATTATGACTGATCCTTAAACCAGGATCTCGATCTGCCATAGATTTGCTCTGACAATTGCTCTTGGCCATGGTCTTGCATTTTGAGTCCATGTTTTAGTTTCTCCTCCATCCTTAATCTGCCGGCCGTGCGGGATCCTTTTGGTATTAGAACCTGTTTTAGCTCTTTAATAGGACATCAAAAACTTACATAAAGAAGTCAAAAGACAGAAACACAATAGCTAGATTAAGAAGCTGAAGTTGTTTAGGATGCGGCGATCAAATAAAATCGCCTGGTGTGTGGCCGGCTTCAGATCTCTTATTTACGGACCAAACAAAAATCTCAGTGCAGGTTCTATTTCAGAGGAATGACCTCAGGGATTGGTCTTTATTTATCTTCTGGAGGGGAGGGGGGGGGGGGGAGGATTTTGGGAGCGCATCATAGATTTTTTGGAAAATTGACTGCAAATGAACTGCCAATGAGGGGGGGGGGGAGTCATAAAAAGATTTCAGAGCCTTCGTGGGGATCAACCCACCTGGCGATTAAGAAAGAAGAGAGAAATGGTTATGGATCAGGAACAAGCTTATGAAATAAACTTCATATTCAGGTTAGCTTGTGATTTTATTACGTGTGTAGGTTATTGTGCAGCAGAAATATTTTGCGGGAATTCATTTTGTGGATTGGCGTTTTTGCTTTTTGTTTTATCCTGTTTCATTGTTTCCTTTCTTTTCAACAAAAATGATAAAAAAAATCTCCATTCTACGCAATTTGTAAGTTTTTACTTTTGATTTTTTTTCCTCTTTTTCATCTGGTTTGGTTTGTTTTGTCTTTTTTTTTAATGATTTTATGATCTTACTTTTTCATGGAAATAAATTTTTTCCGTTGGATATGACTGAAATTTCTGCAGTTAAAGCGATTTTCTGTTTAAGAAGCCGAACAGAAATAAGAAACGCTACGTGTGTAAATTTTTAAACCTTCCGAATTATACAGAGAGGATCGACTCAACCAATGAGGAATATTTCGAAGGAGTCAAATTCGAGTAATATGAAATGACACTTGATTCCTATGCACAGTTTCTCGTTTTACTGAGAGACTGGTCATTATTTATCCTCTGGGAGGGAGGGTCGGAGGTTTCTGGTCGCGTCACAATAAAACTTACCCGATCTCCCTGAGGGCTCTGTAGTTAGTATTCTAGTGATTTCCCCCCCCCCCCCCCATTGGTGGTCAATTTTCTATAGTTCCCCCTTTATTCTCTTCTAGCCATGACCAATCCCCCTCCGGTCCCCCCGAAAACCATGTGACCCCCTCCAAAAAAATCATCCAATCTTCCCAGATAGTTCTAATTTCAGTATTTTCTTTTGCGGGGGGTTATTATTTCGAATCGTGGCCAATCCACAATTGGATTCGCAAAAATATAAAGCTCGCATAGAATATTCAGGCTACACGTTATCTAATAGAAAGTTTTTCCCCTTCTCTCAGACACATCTGTTCCGCCCCAATGTATAAATATGGCATATGACTATTGAATTTTTCCTCAGCCCTTTCTTCGTTCCCCCCTTAAAACCATGTGCCCCACCCCCTCCTCCATTCCTTCCTCCCTGGTGATAAATAAAGAATAGTTCCTTTAAAAAGGATTAGCATAAATGATGTTTTAAAGTAATAATTAATAAAAGCTTTTTAAAGCTTTTATTTAAAGTAGATAAAGACAAACATTAATGGAAAGAATCCTATGAGAATAAAGCTAAATTTGTTTCCATGGCAACCCGTAGAGTGGACATTACACTCCCCCTTTTCGATCTAATCAGGACAGTAACTTGAGAACTGCGGTTATATCAATGTAATGCAAAAGTATAATCCTGACTGGGCTTCGCAAATTTTCAATTCTTTTCGACTTGAAAGTTTTGTGTTTGAGCGTGCACGAGTAACTTTCGTAGCGAAGATAAATTTATTGATAAAAATATCTGGAATTTCGAGGAAATATGGTACAAACAAAAAGAAACTAGTTGAGCTTAAACTGAGTGCTGTTTACAGAAGTTTTTCTTGGTGTTACAGAGATTTCTATTATCGAAGGAACAGACACCTTGTAGTATTGATAAAACTGCGGCTATTATTTTACAAGAAGAACGTTTGAAAAGTTTTAATTATTTTTTCAACCCCAATTCCGCCCTGTCAAGTTATTTTTGGAACACAAGGTTCAGAT